TTCTTCTTCTTCTTCTTCTTCTTCTTCTTCTTCTTCTTCTTCTTCTTCTTCTTCTTCTTCTTCTTCTTCTTCTTCTTCTTCTTCTTCTTCTTCTTCTTCTTCTTCTTCTTCTCCTCTTCCTCCTCCTTCCTCCTTCTTCTTCTCCTTCTCCCCCTCCTCCTCTTTCTTGTTCTTGTTCTTGTTCTTCTTCTTCTTGTTGTTCTCCTTCTCCTTCTCCTCCTCTTCCTCCTCCTTCCTCCTTCTTCTTCTTCTTCTCCTTCTCCCCCTCCTCCTCTTTTTTCTTCTTCTTCTTCTTCTTCTTCTTCTTCTTCTTCTTCTTCTTCTTCTTCTTCTTCTTCTTCTTCTTCTTCTTCTTCTTCTTCTTATTCTTCTTCTTCTTCTTATTATTATTATTATTATTATTATTATCATCATCATCAGAGTTGGAAGGGACCTTGTGGGTCATCTAGTCCAACCCACCCAAGCCGGAGACCCTACAACCATTTCTGACCAATGGAATCTTCCAATTTCTCCCCCCCCACCCCAAAAAAAACAACAGAGTTCCATTCAAAAGGCAGAATTCAAATATCAGATGAAAAGGATATTTTTTCTAGCCCCATAGATGGCAGCCTCTTCCCAGTTTATCCTTTCCAGTGGATAATGTTTGGGGCTGACTACAACTTGTGTAGCTTGTGTAGCGTGTGTGTGTGCGTGCAGGGTTGACCCTGGCAAAATTACTCTGCGATGGACACAATTGGGAGAGAGGGACGGTCTGAAATAAGGGGGGGGGGTAAACTTCCTTTCCCTCCGCCTCCTCCCCCCATTCCCCCACCCCAAAAAAACATCTTCATGAGGACTAGCGCTTTGGTGGACCGATTCTCAGCTTGGGAGCGGAGGGCCGGTCCTGCAACTGAACAAAAGCGAGGGTCTAGAGAGAGAGAGAAAGAGAGAGAGAGAGAGAATTTAGGCAGCGACTGCAAGACCCATCATCCTCAAATGGGAAGGCGAGTAGGGTTTTACTAGACCTCGCGTTCCCAGGGAAAAAAGATGAGGGCCGGTGGGCAGGAGCAGCTCGGATTTCAAGCCCACCCACCCACCCCTTTTCTGGTTCCACCCCTCCCCTTTGGCCCCGCCCCCGCCTCTGCTCCCTCCTCTGCCCCCCCTCCCCGCGCCCCCTCCTCTTCCTCCTCCTCCTCCTCCTCCTCCGCGGACTCCGCAATGCCTCCGCCCGTCGCTTTGCTCCGCTGCGCCTTGGCGCTTCTCCTCCTGGCTTTGGGGGTCCCTTCTCCCTCCACGAAGGAGGAAGGGGGACCCCCGGCCAGGGAGGAGGAAGAGGAAGAGCTGCCCACCGTGGTGGTCGCCATCCTAGCCCGCAATGCCCAGCACTCTCTCCCCCACTACCTGGGGGCCCTGGAACGGCTGGATTACCCCGCGGAGCGCATCTTCATTTGGTGAGCGGGTGTCTCTTTTTTTGGGGGGGGGGGTTCCTTGCCAAGCACCGATACCCCCCCCCTCTTAGCTGGACAGCTGCCCGCTGGAAGGGGAGGGGGTTCTCTTCCCTCTCCAGAGTTGGCTTTGGGGGTCTCTGGATGGATTGAGGGTCTGGGGTTGCGGGAATCTTGAGGCTCTTAGTAGGTTTTTGCCTTGGTGAGCTTGGCTGGGGAAAGACTTGGGGTCCCTGTCCCTTTTTGGGGTGTCTTCCGGACTCTTTATGGACCAGGGGTGATGGGGGAAGGCAGTGCGAGACCTCCACTCCACTTAAAGACAGTGGTTTTTTGGGGAGAGCGGGTGCACGTATGTTTCTCCATTAGATTTGCAAAACCGATTGGGAACCTATTACTCCCACCCCACCCCCAGTGTTAATGGATGCTAGTTTGGGGGTGCAGAACTGAGTTTTTGGGGGTGCTGGGGTGCGTGTGTGCCCTTTTGCTGTCGTTTGCCCCGTTGTGGCTTTTCCAAGGGTTTTGTTTTGTTGGGTTTTTTCCCCTCTGATCCACCATCTTCCTTTCGGGGTTTGGCCAAATGAGTTCTCCCTCCCCCATAACCCGATTATATGCAAACAGACCTCAACTCCCATCCTCCCTCAACCCAGCACGATGGGAGTTAGAGTCCAAGGCCTCTCTCTCGACAATTTCAGGATGGTGGGTTGCGGCCCAATTGGGCAAGGAGAGAGGGATGGATTTTTGGATGGCCATTTTTTTTGGGGGGGGGTGAAAAAATAAACGCCACATCTTGTTTTATGTTATGGTGTGTGGTTTAGGACATGCCTAAGGCTCTTGGGGGAACTAGAGGCTGCAAATAAATTTGTTTCTCCCCCCCCCACACACACACACCAGGCCCTGTCCCTCAAACAGGTACAATTCCCAACCCCAGCAGGTATGGCTCACCTGCCTCCCCACCTCCACCTGGGCTGCTGGCAAAGATCAAAAGATTTCCCTTTGCTGTGTTTCAAAACTTCTCCCTGGCCAAAAAGACAAAAACAAAAAAACAAAACACTTTGTGGTTCTTTTTTAAGAACTTGTAGACTACCCAAATCCAATAATGTAATAAGAATGGTGGGTGGTTTTTATATAAAGGAGGAGATGAGCTTTTCCCCATCTGTAGGATCTGTTAAAGCGATGTAGGCAATTTTAGGATGTCACTGGGCCGTTCCAGAAAGGCAGGATCCAAGATTGTGAGTCTGTTGTAATTTCTTCTTTCTTTCTTTCTTTCTTTCTTTCTTTCTTTCTTTCTTTCTTTCTTTCTTTCTTTATTCTTTCTGTCCTTCCTTCCATCCTGTTTCCTTCCTTTTCTCCTTCTCCTTCTCCTTTTCCTTTCCCTTCCTTCCTTCTTTTCTTTTCTCCCTCTCTTCCCTCCCTCCTCCCTTTCTCCCTCCCTTCTCTTTCCCCCTTTCCTCCCTTCCCTTTCTCCCCCTTTTTCCTTCCCTTTCTCCCTCTCCTTCCTTCCTTCCTTCCTTCCTTCCTTCCTTCCTTCCTTCCTTCCTCCCTCCCTCCCTCCCTTCCACCCTCCCTTCTCTTCCTCCCTCTCCTTCCTTCCTTCCTTCCTTCCTTCCTTCCTTCCTTCCTTCCTCCCTCCCTCCCTCCCTCCCTCCCTCCCTCCCTCCTACCCTCCCTTCTCTTCCTCCCTCTCCTCCCTTCCCTTCCTCCCTCTCCTTTCTTCCTTCTTTCCTTCCTTCCTTCCCTCCTTCCTTCCTCCCTCCCTCCCTCCCTCCCTCCTACCCTCCCTTCTCTTCCTCCCTCTCCTCCCTTCCCTTCCTCCCTCTCCTTCCTTCCTTCCTTCCTTCCTTCCTTCCTTCCTTCCTTCCTTCCTTCCTTCCTTCCTTCCCTCCTTCCTTCCTTCCTTCCTCCCTCCCTCCCTCCCTCCTTCCCTCCCGCCCTCCCTCTTTTTATTCTGTTTCCTCTTCTTCTTTCAACATTAGGGCCTCACTTTCTCTTGGCCTCTTCTTTCTTTCCTCCTTTTCTGCAGAGGGCCCATCTCCCCATCCAGCTGCCCCCCCCCCCCCCGAGGGCATGGATTACAACCCCCATCACCCCCCCCCCTTGTCCATCTGTCCTCTTACAACCAGTCTTACAAAGACAGGATCCCTAGGAATTCTTAATTTCTCCTCCTTCCCGTTATTTCCCTCTTGACTTCATAATTCAAATTATGCTGCAATTAGAGTCTTGTTTACTTGGCTTTGCGCTCTGTTTGTTCAAGGGTGAGACCGTCCTTGGCTGGCCAATTGACGGAGCAACAAAGCACAGATCCTAACGGGCCACGTGCTAGGAATATGTTCGGAGTTGATGTGTTGGCATAACCGAGCTCAGCTTGAGAGACGCTTGGAAAGTAAACATGTAATTTCAAGGAACTGGCTGAGCCAGGGAACATCTTGGCTTGCGGCAGAGCAGGCCTTCCGCTGACTTTCCAGCCTGTGCAGAGAGGGAATATGAGCAGAATTCGAGGGTGCAGAATTCCAATCATAAGGAAGAAGAAGAAAGGAGGAGGAGGAGGAGGAGGAGGAGGAGGAGGAGGTGGTTTACAGCTCCAATTACCATTGGCAAACAAATCTTACCGTTGAGGAGCAACCATAATCTCTTTCGCCTTCCCGCTCCCCTTCCCAGGTGCACCACCGATCACAACGTAGACAATACCACGCAAATGCTGCAGGAATGGCTCGGCGCGGTTGAAAACCGTTACCGGTCCATCGTGTGGAAATCTGTGGAAGAGCCCAGGTATGTTTCTCGGAGGCCTTGAAACAGAGCCTCTCTGGACTGAGGCAGTCTACCCTTCCCTGAACTGAGTGCCTCTTTCTAAACTTTCCTAGATAGATAGACAGACAGACAGACAGACAGACAGACAGACAGATAACTTTCCTAGATAGATAGATAGATAGATAGATAGATAGATAGATAGATAGATAG